CCAGCCTCGCTGCCCTGCTCTGGCCACGCTCCAGCCCCTCCATGGCCGCCTTGGGGTGAGGGGCCCAGCGCTGAGCACAGCATCTCCAGATCCAGCCCCGCAGCACGCCCAGGACCCCACGGTTCGGTGACGTGCCGTGCAATGCACAAAGTTTCCCTTAAGCCTCGTTTTTGAGGTGGTGGTGGTGCATCTGGCCCAGAGGCAGCCACGCTGGAGGTGCTACGGGCTGTCTTACCCAAAATACCGGGCCTTTCCAGGGCCTTTCTTGCGGCCGTCAGGCTCTGATGCTGTGTGACAGTCCCCACTGCTGGCAGCCCTGCCCGCTACCATCGCATCCAACCCTCTCCCAGCAGACCCGCGGCCCCGTCCCACCAGTCCCAGCCTTGGTGGGCCTTTCCCCGGTTGCTGCCCGGCCAAGGCCCTGTGCTGCTTTCCCCGAGGCCGAGGGAACGACGACCAGAGAGAGCGCGAGCCTCGGCCAAGTCCTGCCTGCTTTATCAATCGAGACGCGGCGTTTCGCAAGCTCTGGCTCGCAAACAAAGAGCTGCGCGTAGCGGCAGCCCCGAGCACGCAGATGTTGGCCGACCCCGCGCAAGGCCGCCCTGTTCTGCCATCGATCGCATCCCTCCTAATCTCCACTTTCTCCGCTGCCTTCCCGCAGTGACAGCTCCCGAGCAAGGTCTCGGTTCGGTCACGGCCGCGCCGGGCGGCCTCAGCTCAGCAGAGCTGCCAGATTGGCCTCCGGTGTTGGCATCCCGATGGCAGATGCCAACTCTGGGTGTCAGGCAGGGATGGAGGAAACGCTGGGCTTGGTCCTCGCTGTGAGCCAGGAGCCACCACGGGTTTCACCTCCCTTTCTCTCCCTTTTCTGGTAACTACAGGCCTGTCAGTCTCACCTCTGTGCCTGGCAAAACTACGGAGAAAATTATTCTGGGGGTTACTGAAAAACACCTGAAGGACAACGCAGTCACTGGCCCCAGCCAGCACGGGTTCACGAGGGGAAAGGCCTGCTTGACAAACACAATTTCCTTCTATGACAAGGTTACCCACCGAGTTGACCAAGAGAAGCCAGTCGATGTAATCTTTCTGGACTTCAGTAAAGCCTTCGATACTGTCTCTCACAGCATCCTCCTGGACAAAATGTCCAGCATCCAGCTGGATAAACACATAATGCCGTGGGTGAGCGATTGGCTGACGGGTCAGGCTCAAAGGGTTGTAGTAAATGGGGTTACATCGGGCTGGCGACCAGTCACTAGTGGGGTTCTGCAGGGATCCATCTTGGGGCCAGTCCTCTTCAATATCTTCATAAATGACTTGGATGCAGGACTTGAAGGACTGCTATCAAAGTTTGCCAATGATACAAAACCGGGAGGAGCCGTGGACACTCTGGAGGGCAGAGAGGCCCTGCAGAGGGATCTGGACAAATGAGAGAGCTGGGCAATCACCAACCGTATGGAGTTTAACAAGGGCAAGTGCCGGATTCTGCACCCAAAACATAGCAACCCTGGATGTACCTACAGACTGGGGAACGAGAGGCTGGAG